TACACCTAGGAGTAGACCGAAGAAAGAGCTACAGCTGCATTTGACCTTATCTTCACCCATGGCCATGGGCTGGTGGTCAGTAGCCGTCGGAGGCTCACTCTAGCTGGTCAGTGGGAGCTCCTGTTGGCTTGTCCCTTCCAAGTCCAGGCCTTAAAGCCAAGTAAACGTCTCTTTCCACCTCTACACTCCTCACATGGTATATTTTGCTAAAGCAGCTACACTCCAGATCAAAAACATCCCGAAAAGCAAATGAACTCTGGGCAGATCTGGGGACATTCCCAACTCCAAAGGCAGCTCTCAGCCCCCATTCCTGCCCTTCTCCCCTTCCTTTGCAGGCTTCTCTTGTGTACGGACCATGACTTGGAAACCACCAGGGAAGACCCAGCTGGGACTATCTGATATTTATTTTTTTTTTTTCCCACACGACTTGCAGTGTCCTCTGTCCCTCCACACACACGCCCCGGCTTCGGTGCAGCTCCCTGGGGGTGGATCCCAGTGCAGAGGACGCATCTCAGCAGCGCGGCCCCAAAAGCACGTTGCCCTCAATAAATCTGGGCCAATGTATCTAGAGTAGTACTTTAGGGGCTCTGATATTTTAAGGCCTTCATAAATCCTTTCTTAGTTTTGCCCTCCAGGTCCAACTCCTTCTCCTGGGATTTCTAAGCTACCCTCTATTTCAAGGCCCCGTCCCAGCCGACACTGGCTCACGGATCCAGTCCCCACCATGCCACGTGGGTCTCAGAGAGCATCAGTTCTCCTCCTCTTCCTCTCCCACGTTCCAGATTCACCTCCCCAGGCCAACATATCCCGGCACGGCATGAGGTGCCCTGACGAAGGGACGAATCACCAACCCCAGCTGCTGGAGACTCCGTTTTCATCCAGAACTGGCACGTCCCACATCAAGGCAGCACAGCAGCGGCACGCTCTGCCTCATCCGAGTCCCCCCGCAGCTCAGCCTTCATCTCCTTCGGGAGGCAGCTAACACTGACCGGGCATTCGGCAATTCTGCCGCTCCCTCCGTCACCCCGTTCCTTTCGGGGACCGCAGCGGGAAACGGGGCTGGTCATGGCCATCCCTCACCTTCTCAGATGCCACACTCCGCCTCTCCAGGCCCAGCTGATCGCATCACGCTTTCTTTTCAAGACAAAGCTTTGCAGGAGGCAACCAGTTCTCCTACCACAAAGTCCTAAAGTCAGATTTTCATAATCTTACGCAGTTTTTAGTAGTTTCTGGACGAAAATCCAGAAGATTGTCCCATTTCAGGTAAAGATGAAGGGGGAAAACAGTCAAGTACATTGCTGAAGTGGTTTGTATTTGTGTTATAAAGAGTTTCTGCAACCACTGAACATGCTCCTTCTTCGCAACTCAAACAACGTGCTGCCCCTGTCGTTCCCCCTTCCCTTTCAGGGCATCCTCTCTCCCGCCGGGGGCGGCGCAGAACCATCGCCCCCACTGCAGCACGTTCAAACGAGTCCCATCCTGGGTGGGGAGGTGGGAGCTCAGGCTGCCCAGGGACCTAACAACGCTCTGCAGGTCCAGGCCATGAGGTCCAACGCCGCTCCAGGCTCCGGTGGCCCTCGAGGGTCCCAGCAGCGGGGTCCTCGCCCTGCCCTAGGGCTGCTGGGTTCCGCTTTAACACAAAAGCAGCTTCCCAGAGGCAGCACGGGTCCCCTCGGAGCACAGGCCGCCACCGAGGCGGGGTCGTTAAAATGGTAGGAAGGATCAAACCATTTTCCTTGGCAAAGCCTCGTCTTCCGAACAAAAGGATAGGATGGCCCTCACGCTGTCCCACCGAGGCTGCTTCATTTTTAACCTTTCCTACCCCGAGCCGTCGCTTACAGACATCGAACCCCAGGCGGCCGCTGCTTTCAGGAACCAAACGAAGCGGGCTGGCTGGGGAGGTGGAAACCAACCGCTGTAGATAGGACTGGTTTTGCCGGAGCGGGAGGGAAGCAGACAGAAGTAGCCCGAAGGTTAATTAGTGCAACAGCAGCCAGCGCTAGCAGGACTTTACATGTTGAGAATTAATGACGTTTCAGGGGATTGTTTCCTTTTGATGAACGCCGAGGACTACAATGGGAAGGTTTGACTTGTCTCAGGGGCTTTTGTTAGTCTATTTTCTTTCTTGTACCAATCAAATATGATTTGTTTTAAACACGTCCTAAACCGAGCTGGCACGGTGACTTTAAAAGCTCCTGCTGGTAACTAGAACATGCCAAGCACAAACACCAATTCATAAACAACCTCTGCTTCTGAAGTCTTCAGGGCAGAGCCTCTCCACAAACAAACTGTAGGATCTGCTGAATTAGAAGCAAAATACCAACGTGGGGTGCATTTTGCTTCAGCCGCTGGTTAGCGGAGACAAATAATCACCATGGGATGGCCTTCACCCTCGCTCCAGCGCTTAGGGGTCTGGAGAAGACCAGAAGTGACAAGACCAGCCCCCAAATCCCAGTACCAATCCTGCCTTACTGGCACTCAAAGCTAAAACCACATCGCTTTCAGACACTGTGATTTGGGTTGTTTGCCCTCAAGAAAACGAATTCTGGGTAAGATTCTTTCCAAAGCGGCTGAAAGTCAAGCCCACGTTCACCAGAGTTAAAATTAGCTCCGTTTATTTATTGCTAATGTGTGACCCAGCAGGACAAGGACCAGACAGCATTTTGATTTAAAACGTGTTTTACAAAGCAGCTGTCACTTCCCAGTCACTCCCAATCAATTCCCAATCCCAACTGCGTTCTGACCTAGTCCCATGAATTCCCACTCATGGGAGCAGCCTCTGATCAAATTTTCCCAGCAAACTCCAGTGAGCCACACAGAAACAAAGGCCCTGTCCCACAATGAACCTGAAAAGCTCCAAGGATACGGTACTATTTTTGCTTTTAAATCTCTCTGTTCCAGATCAGTCAGATAATATTTGCCACAAAGTCTCACGGAGTCCGACAGCGAGGGGTGAAAGAGGGAGAAGGAAAAAGGAAATCACAGGGAAAGGCAACGGCAGAGCTCCAGGGGATGAGGAGGGGATGCCAGCAGCAGGGTGGGTGTCAGGGGAAAAGGGCCCTGGGTAACCCCTCCTATATCAAGTATAATCCACGACACAGAATTACTCATGTCTCTTGGTTTAAACCGCTTATGCACAGGTTATACACATGCGGGGTCGGAATCCCTCAGCCAGCCAGCACGGAGGGAGAAGCACTACTCCTCCACGAGGGAGAAGCTAAGGCGAGCAAGCGACTAACCAGTTACTTCCATTTCTGTTGGGACTGGGACTGGGGTTCAAGGAAGAGCACTGGGGGCCATGTGCGTTTGATCATACATGACCTTTATTGGAGACAGGTGGGGTCATTTATTATACAGAAGCAACATCACACCATTCTCTTCCAATTTAATTCCTTTTAGTCTCCTTATAAATCTGTAGCAAAAGTGCACTTTTAAGAGTTCTTAATCTATAGTATATATCTTTCAATATTATCTCTCAGTCAGGTATTTTATTTGTAAAAATGTATCACCAGATATACAAAATACATGTCTAGCGTACTACATTAACTTTTGTACTTACTGTTTAGATTATTTTTAAATCAGTGCTCTCTTTTTTTTTTCATTTTTTTGCAAGACTTAGCGATGACAGTCTTCTGGTAGCGCCACCAGGAAAGGACTCACAGCTTGTGTGAACAAGGGGAGAAGGCTCTTAGCCAGGAACAATCTTCACACAATAGGAACAAGATGACAAGAACGTTTGCTGTTATTGGCCACGTCTCTTACGATGACAGTACTCTGTATAATAAAAAATAATTTAAAAAAACCCAATGTCCATATTTTATCTTCTGGAAGAGGAGACGTGGCGGGAGAATGGAACCTGTACCCAGTTGGAATACAATGGTAATGATTAATTTGCATTTTGAAGACAGGAGTTAATTGCTAACATTACGTTTCTGGTCATGGTAAGAAGAAACAGATACATACAGCCACCACGAGGAACTGTGAAATGCTGTTTTCCTGAGGACAATATTTTGGTAAAACATTTTATATCCTGTACAAGCCCCAGAATTGCATAAGTTACACGTCCTCAAGAACAACAATCACCGGTACACACCGTGAACGGCTGTGCTGGGAACAACCACACAGAGGACAGCTCTTGTGTCACCTAACAAGACGAAGAAAGGAAAATACTCATTTCCACTGGTAGTTTAGAGCCAGCTGCGACACGCTTTGGCACGGCAACAGGACTTTTCAAAAAGAGAATTACAGAAGACTTTCTGAGATTTCCTACAAACTTCCTTAGTCTTTTCTTCCTAGTTATCCTTGAGATTATAATATATACACACGTGACGGATAATTAATTTCAGTCTTCAAAAGACTAACGATTTCCCCTGTTAAGCAAGGCCTGTAGAGGTAAAACAATCAGAAGCATTTTGAGGGGGGTGTTACGATTCCCAGATCGATAGGAACATCACCCACAGATGACGAGGAACACTTAGCAAGGCAATGCCTGGGTTGGTTGGTTGGTTTTCCTTCTTACACGTTCACTCTCTTGAAGACAAAGAACAACTGGATTAGTTACAGAAATAATGCTTCCCTTGGTTAACCCTTCACAATTAGTGCTGTTTCTGTGTATTAGCATAGATTCGAGACGCTAGTTGCATCAGTTTACCAGGTATTGAATGAAACATCGAACAGATCCCGTTTCAGAATGAGGGCACTTTTGGTTTACGCAAGAGCTCCGAGAAAGGCTGTAACTTCAAGCTTTCTACAGCAACCGGTTGCCAGACATATTCTTCAAAAGGTAATTGTTTTTCTGCTCCCCTTAAATCTGCAGCGATGTGGCTTGGAGTCAAAACCTCTGCTTCAAAAGAAAAACGCACAATAGACTAGGCCGAATGTGGATAAAGTTCTATACCTTCTGAAGAAGAAACAGAAGAGTAAAAATAAAAAATATAAAAAGAAGCAGTGTTGTTAGTGTTATCTAAAACCAAGATAATCCATAATGGGGAAATTTACAATGCTGCAGAGAGTTTTTTTGTCTGTTTTTTTTTTTTTTTTTATAAAAATTACAGACTTGACATTTCCAATATGTCTTAGCTTTGTACTGCTTCTCAAGTCTGAGTCACCAAAAATATCCAGCAACCAGCTGCTGTTCATATCCTAAAATATGCCTTCAGCTGACACTGAATATTGAAATCATTCTGCTAAAATACAGAAAAACGACGATGGTAGAAACCAAGGTATAGCCTCAGGCCAACATTACATGGTAAAAATTCTACAACGCTACTTTTAAATCTCTTCTTCAGTTCATGAACAAATAAGCAGCCAGGTTTCAAGTAGAGGTAACACAGATTTTGGAAGATAGCACGTAAAAAAAAAAGCCCAGAAAGAAAACTGGAACAAAAGCTCTTCTTGTTACGGCAGTCAGCACTACTCCTCCACGAAATGGCAGGGAGAAACCTTTATTCGCCCTGCTGGATCTGTCCTGGTCCTACAGCAACAACGAGGAACTGCTTCTGCTGTCACAAATATGTTCCATTTGGACACATCTTGATCCCTTTTTTCTTTTATTTGCACACATGTATCTTTTGTCCTAGTCTCTTGACTGGTAGAAGAGGATATATCCAGATTCTGAGTTTTTGGAAATGTCTGATGTTAACCCATAGAATTCTTCAATGGCCTGGGCATCAATTTTCTGAAAATTAATGGGAGTTATAATTAGCCTCAGTGAAAACACCACCCTCTAAGAATCCCTTTCCCAGATAAAGCGTTATTTGCAGTTCTTGGAGGCGATGCTGGAAAGCCGCGCAGCATTAATGCAGCGGTATTTCAGTATCATTGATTCCAACCAAATACAAAAAAAAAAACCCCAAAACGCACTTTTTCCACTTAATACCTTATTCACTATTGAAAAAGAGGAAATCAAGATGAAATAATAAACCACTCAGAAGTGGTGCACTCTTAAGCCGGACTATTAAAAAAGGGATCCATGAAAATCTACCCGTAAAAGAGCACGTGACATTTTGATTTTTGCTTTCTCATTCAGACTGGTGTTACCTTTCCTGACTACAGGTTTATAATGTAAATGAAAAAAAAAAAAACAAACCACCAGTCACTGATCAGCAAAGAAGATTTTCGTACAGTTGGGAGCACATACAGACCATCTTGAACAGATTTAACATTCAGCTAAAAGAACTCCAGATTTTAAAGGTCTTGTGACCCTCCTGCGCAGAGAAGTCCTGCAAGTGCTACTGGTAATTATACTACAAAATCTGTGGATCTCATCTGATTAAGATCTTCTGGTCTCACGAGAGCTTTCCTTCCTTAGGATTTGCTGGTACAATGCCTACTGGAATATTATCACAAGGTTTGTGATGGCAGAGAAATAACTGATTTGCCATATTAATAGAATTAAACGGTCTGCTTATATCTAAAGTTGTGAACCATGTGCAGAACAGCAGTTTTTCATTTTCCACTCCAACCAGCAAGGCCTGTGGGGCATTTGAAAGGGCTTTTGAAAATGCAAGTTCTAAAGTCTTGATCCCGCTCTTGAGAACGAGTGGGTTCACGTTACTGAACTCGATCCTGCAGGCAGCGGAGAGCAAGCGCAGAGCCCAAAACACCCAAACAAAACGCTCCCAATGACCTGCGCTGCTCAGCCCTCCGCTGTGCTTTAGCATTTTAAAATACCTTTAGGACTCTGGGTCCACAGGGGTGAGAGGCTGAAGTGGCCTGAATTTGTTGCGGAGGACCGAAGGCTGACTAGCCTAAAGTATTCTTTGGGGAATAAAGGCAAAAAGTTGAGGAAGCAAAGAGATGTTCAGAATAGAGGCTTTGGGTTGAGCACCTGCTTTGATCGGGAGAGGGAGCAGCAGAGACCAACTTGTGCTCAGGTCTTAAAGGAAAGGGACCACGCCAGGACTCCATTGAGGAGCCCCCTCAGCTACAGAACCTATCTGGCAGCGCGCTGAACCACTGCTCACTGAACACACTTTAGCATCACCAGCGAACACAAACGCAGTGGTTTCTCTACGTGGCCCTGCCAAACCACCTGCAGGTTTAGGCCATCCTTTTCGCAGCCTCTTTGCAGCGCCAGAAAAACCAGACCTAGTCAGTAAGTTTCCAGAAGATGCATCAACTGCAGGACAGAGCTGCTGCAATTCTCCCTTGAATGGTTTTGTTAAACATTCTGCTAAAAAAAAAACCCAAACCAAATCCCAAACAGATGTTTGGTGTCTGTCTCTTCTCCATTCAAGGACTTCAGAGAAGCTGAAATACCGTTCTGAGGGCTTTTACATTTTCACACAATTTATTAACATAATGTCTACTACAAACTGCTAGATACATATTTTAACAGAAAAACAGCAAAAGAACATTCTTCAATCCTTGTAATATATTTAGCAGACAACTCAAACATGTTTTATTTTAAGTGCCAACTAACTTGCCATGCAATCAAATCTACTTCCACTGCTCATTTTGAATGTAACTCAAACATTTGATACAGATTAATTCATCCTACAGATATTTTTAGTTTTACCACAGCAAAACTGACTTCCTTCTTTAATTTCACTATCCACAGAAAACAAAGTGGAACTGAAAGAGGATTGTGTAGTCTCTATTCTTCCCATCCTTGGCTGACCACATACATTGTGGCCAGCAAGGTTTTACCCAGTTGTGGCTCTAGAGTAATAACCCGTTGATGGTTTCATAACTCCTTCTAGGATTCCGCAGCCTCACCTGGCATTAAGACGATTTTTCCTGTTAACTGAGCTGAAATATCTTTTGCACATTTCCAGACAACTATTCTGGTTCCCCAAACCAAGCCCTTGTCTCGCATACCGTTCATAGCGCTCAACTGAATGCTGCAAATCTCTGAACAAATATTTAAGTGAAGATATACAATCATTCTCCCTCTTTTCTCAATCTGGAGAACTCCCTGGATGGACGTTTTTCCCCTCTCTGTTTCACACAAACATTGTCATTGTGATGGATCACTTAGCTGCTCTAATGACAACGTGTCAAATTAGCCAGAGATCATTTACTCAGGTTTCTCAATTAATTTTGCTTGGCGCAGTTTCCCATTTGGACTGATTTGCCTCCTGGATTTGATGCAGTTGCTTTTCACATATGCTGTAGTATGTTTGGTTATCATCTATCTCCAATTTAATTGAAAGTTGGCCTTCCAACTGAATCCAAACAGACAAATAAATATGACTTCACCACTTCTGACATTTAGTGGGTAATAAGGACAAACTACTTCCTATTGACAGTTCAGAGCTATTAATTCATATCACTTGCCAAAAATGCAACAAAGCTTTCTAACCGTATTCAAGGGGGAAAAGCTTTCTCCTGTGACTTCTTTCAGTTGCAATATCTGTAGACAGCTACAAGGGCTTTGGATTCCTCTTCTGAAGCCTGCTGACTAATACCTGTTTTGTTACATAGCCAGTTCACACCTAGAATGTGAAGTCTCTGAAGCATAAAACCCCCACAAATCAAAAGAAAAAAAGCTCCTTTCAGGTTCTTAAGAGTCTCTGAAGAGTAGAAAGCTCCTGTGGTTAGCCCTAAACCCAGAAACTTATGCAGAATTCACGTTCTAGGGGAGTTGGGACTTTGGGCGTTTTTTGCCACTCCATTTTTGAGGACAACCTCTGTCACGCCATCCATAGCAATATATTTCCTATAGTGTCCCCTTCTGGCCAATCACCAGCAGCCTGATAACAGCACTCGGGCAAGCGCAGAGTAGATATTTAAACCTCTTTAGGCAGCAGATGGAACTGACAAAAGCAGTTGTGGCTTTACTTCACTTTTTCAGTGAATAGCCTACAGCACTAGTCAGGAACTAATTCTCAAGAGCTGATGACTAAGTGGGGAGAGAGAACAGATGAGTAAAACTGCAGCTACTTCTTTCCAGCAGCCTGTAGCATCAGGAGCAGAAGCGCAGTCGCCACTATCCTGTTCTCCTTCACTGAATCACCAGAAATTCAGGTGAGTTCTGGAAGGCTGAGGAAAGAGAAAGGGTGGCACTTGCTAGGCAGAGGGAGGTGAGAGGTAAGCTTCGTGCTCATCACACACTTGGAAGGCAGGAGAGGCCCAGTGGGTAGTGAAGAGATCCTCTGGGACCAACCCAGCAGTAATCCTTACGCTACACCCTTCGAAGCAGGTCGAGGAGCAACTGTTTATCAATGATCTCAGGTGACTCACGCGAATCTCTCACGTGCAGTTTTTCATGTCCTCCACTGGTAGGAAAAACAAAGCCTGTATCTCACAGAAAGCAAACACCCCATGCAAACGCCAGCCACAGAGAATCTTCTAGCAGGAAAGGGGATCTTAAACTTCTGGATCTGCTGCTGGGGCAGAGGCAGTGCTACAGGATAGGGCTGCGTTGCCAATCCTAATCAAGACACCGAAAACTCAAAGAACTACGGAAAACACAGAATGTAGAAAATTCAGATCAAAGAGCTTTATTTTTACAGCGTTTTAGATAAAACTCTGCAAAAGAAGATGAACTTAAAAAAGGAAAGCCATGATTAAAGTTACAAAAGCAACTTAAAGGAAAAAAAAAATAAAGCATCCCTCCAGGAGAGAGGAACTACATTCTAGCTTACTTGTGTCAGCCCCTTGAATTTATTGTCCAATAACAGACAGTGCATATTTAAAAGCTACTTTTTGGCACAGCTATAAAAGTGCCAACAGAGCCTGCAGATAAAAAGAAATTCTGGTTTGACCTAAAAGCTAAGCTACAACACAGAAGTGACTGATAGAAAATAAACACAGAACAACAAGATGGTTATTTTACATGTGCTTTTAAAACGTAAAGTACTTTTTAAATGTCTTTTCTCCTGGGTAGAAAAGACAGTGAATACTTGCATTTTAAAATGTTGAAGTGAACACTATTTCCAAAATTAGCTGACACAATTACGTACTTCATCCATGACAGAAAAAAAAAAAAGAGGAAAATAACCCTCAAAATATAATAGCGGGAGAAAGGCAACTGTTCAGTCATACAAGCTATCCAAATCACCAGGAAGTCACTCCTGATGCTCGAAGCTAAGCAAAGATTTTAAAAAAAAACCCACCCCAAACTGGAGAATGTACTACATCATCTTTCTTTCCACACAAGGAAGGATTTTGCTGTACCAATTTAGACACTTAGCATCAGGCCTTAACCTTGACCAAGAGATCTCAGAAGCAAACAGCACATTTTCATCTCTACAAGAAGCTGTTCTGCTGGGGTATTTGCTCTACTGATTGATATTAGCTCAGTAACTAGGTGAAAAACATGGCTATATAAATATTTTGGGTATTAGTCCTCACAGATATGTTAGTAGAAAAGGAAAAATTTAAGGAAAAACTTGCATGAGCAGACTGTTTAAACGTTACCACAAACAGCCCAAACATCTTTTTATACTCTCAGGGTCTTACTAGAGTCTCCCAAATTTTTATTTTTTTTTTTTAATGTTTTTTCTATACTTCAATTTGTTGGGGAAAACTGCCTACAGAAAAAGGTCAGAAGTTCTTCCACACAGCAACGAAATGCAACTAGCGCAAAGCCAGTCAGCAACAAAAAGGAGCCCAAAAGGTGGGTTGAAAGAAGAATAAGTTGTGGTATTTCAGCCTGCACAGATGCACAACACCCCACTTCAAAACAGCCCTCGTGTTCCTTTGCCCTTTGGGACTTCTGTCACAAAGATGCACCAAAATGCTGAGGTTTACTTTTGAGACATCCCGAATTCTCCAGTGCACAGGTTCTGCTGAAACACTTTCACAGGTGCAAAAGCTAACCCCAGCCAGAAGGAGAGCGCTGGGCAGCGATGCCATCTACACTCGTTTGCACTATGTAATAGCATACCTACCTCTACAATGTCATCATCAAACAGCAACCAAAAGCCATGGCTCTTCACAATGGTGATATAATGTCCACGATTTGGACCACTGCCAGAAAAAAAAAAGGATTGAAGTCTTATTACTCACGTTGCCTACAAGGACCGCTGCTCTCCCACGTGATTCTCGCTACTACTGGCAGAGTTAAGATTTCCCAGCTCTTAACGTTGTCTAATACTACTCATAACGTTGTCCAGGTTCTTAGACTTGGCCAAATTACTTGAATTAAAATTTCCATCTTTGCTACTCACCCAATAAAACATATTTGAAATACACAGTTTTGTAAATATTTCATATAGTCATTCCTACATTCCAAAAAACAAAATGAAAAGCCTGTTATTTCAATCACTGTTTTGTTGCATTCACCACTGCTGAGTATTTCGACCACTGTTCAAAAATTTTAATAACTGTCTGAAATATCTGATTTACACAGGAGATTTTTTTTTAAATTCTTAGTGTGGTTCAGCCTACGGCTGACTGCAGACAGGCATCCTGTAACCGCTGTTCCCACTGTTCTGGTCGCAGTTTCCCAGTCTGACTCTACTGCCTATATCCTGAATGCTGACCTTGAAGGGAAGGGACAACGAAATGACCTGACTCAAAAGGAGATGGATCTGCAGAGTAAAGGCAGGCAGACCGCCCTGAAAAGGTAGTGGGTTGAGTAATAAACTACACGGATAGAAAACCACGAGCTATCAATCTACTAACCTCAAATTCTGAGAGAACAGTCCAGGGACACAGTGAGAAAAGAAAAAAAAAAAATCCAACCCCTTGGCTTTACTTTTTACTGAGGATCTACACAAGGCTTTAAAACAATCTATATTCATATCAGCTTTAGGCAAAAGAAAGTCCTTCTCTAGCCCTTCCAGAATTATTGATATACTTAAACACGTTACCTGTCACAGAATGAAACTTCTTTGTTTAGAGCAACTAAAGGAAAAATAAAATTACAAGGGCAAAATATTTAAAACTAGTTCTGAGACCTCAAATATTCAGAAAACTGTGTTTTCTCTTAAGTCTTCGATAAGTTCCTAGTAAGAACTGAAACTAGAGTCACAGGATGCCTATAAGCCTCACATAAGACAACGGGATTGAGAAGAAAAAGCAAAGCTATTTAATTGATCTGAATTGTTAATCACCACTGTTAGAACATCTAAGAGCAGCTACAGGTACAGCAAAGTAAGCATCTACAGAAAAAATTGCCTAGGAAGAGATCTTAAAATGATAAAAATACATCAAAACCAGCACAACTGTACCACAACAGAAATCACCTAGAATTACAAGTAGGTAATTTATGTACCAAACCTATGCAATATTAGTGGGTTGATTATATTGTCTTGCTCCTCACAAAGAGGTTTCAAAACATTTGCGTGCTGTAATAACTTACTACTTCAAAACTCACACTTCCAGAAGGCAGTTATAAATATTTTTTTTTGCCTTCCATGACTGCTTTTTCCCCAAAAGTGCTAAAAATTTTTCCTCTTTGCTTTTAAAACCAGAATTCAAGCCCTAACAACAACAAAAATTAATAAAGAGAATAAGGGTAGTCTAAAAAAGGAGTACACAGTTTATTCCACATGGTGGCACCAGCTTCTAAAAAACCTTCAAATGGTTTAGCAAGTAGCAACATCACAACTGCAACTTAATTCTATTTTAGTAAGCGGTTTTCCAAGATCTGTTTTTATTTCATTTAGCTTTCCTGGAAAGTAGGGTGAGGGGTGGGGTGTTTTTTTGTTGGTTTTGGGTTTTGTTGGGTTTTTTTTAAAGACTGCCCTTACTTTGCTACAGCCCAACTTGTCTGAACTGCTACCATATTTGAAAGGTGATTGAAGAGCAAACCTTAGACTCTGTGTACTCAGAAAGCAAAATTTAAAAGAGTAAAAAGGCCAAAACACTTTAAAAAAACCCAATAAATTTTCGGACAACTAGCTCTGACGCTGCTCAGCATGCTCCCATACTGCCAGCTGCTGTACTGTTATAAAAATGGCACATGACTGACAGACTCCTTTCAAATTTCTAAGAAAAGCACTCAAAGAAAGGTCCAGAAAGCACAAACCCAACATACCTGCCACAGTGAACGACTACAGCCACAAGGTCATACATTCTGTCAGGATTTGTAGCATCTCCTGAAGTGTTAAAGAGCCGGAGCTCCAAGGGAAAGACTACACGGTAGGAGAGTTTGGTGTATCGATGCAGCTGGTCCATGTATTTGAACCTTTTTAAGTGCAGAGCTAGAATCATGGGCAACTTTTTCACTCTCATTCTGCATCACAAAAATATGTTAAACAAAGAACAAGGTATTAGCTGATCACCTGAAACAAAGCTTTGTTAAAGAACAGTTTCAACAAGAAGCTACTTAAAAGGCATCCAAAATGATGATGAAGATTTTCAAAAGGCTGCTTTTCTCACGTGTATTCCAGTGAGAAAAGGCGATATTTATTCTGAAAGATTAACTACGCAACTGACATCTGTCTATGTTGAAAACATCAATTTTTCGTCGCCTCAATGGGAAGAAAGAGATGGAATTAATCTGTCTTGCTGCTCTGTCTGGGACCAAGTATGAGGTGAGAAATAAGATTTTTTGTAGACAGTATTCACAGTGAAAGCAGATGGGATGATTTTCAGCGGCTTTAAGCTGATTAACGCTAACTGGGGAAAATGTGAATGTCTGGAAGCAGCAGATATAAGCTCTTCTGGGAGGAATACAAAATTAATCTCCTCATTTCTCTCCAATAAGGTTGCCAGAGCTACTTGGTCTCTCCACTCTTCCTTACTCCCTTCCCCAAACACAGACCTAAACAGTCTTACATTTTCTTTTTTACTGAATTCACAAGGCGTTTTTTCCCCAACAGCTGCCCGTTTTCAGAGAACACTTGTATTAGCCTGAATATTTGAACCTTACCTCTTCTGTGCTTCCTGTTTACTGCGGCACTGCTCACAATAGTATTTATATTCACTGCATAGAGTTTCAGTATTACTAAATCCTCTGTGGAAATGAAAGAAAAGCCAGATAAGCAGGGATATTCAGTCAGACTACCCAGTTAAAAGTTACCACTACTAATACCGAAAAAACCCCAAAGTACACACAGAAGATGAAATTCCTCTTATTCCACTTGAACCTCCCGAACACATTTCCAGTGTATTTGTCCCAGTCTTGGGATCTAGCACCAACGTTCAGCTGAAAAAATGTGGAAATTGCACCTTCAAGCATTAACTGCATTCTTTCTGGGCAGAAGTCAAACATGATCGGTAACAAACAGCAATAAGGTGACTGTGGTGTTTCCAGAGGTAGCCACTCCACGTTTTGCTCGGTGGCAGACACTGAAGGTTAAGACCTATAGCCACCAGCCATTGACTAGCCAAAGTCCGGATTATCTTCCAGCTCCTAGCAATTACAGATCCGTGATCAGCTATGAAGAAGCCAGAAGCAGTATCCTAGCAGCTGCCAAGCCTTGGAGCTAGCAGTCAAATACTTGGAGCAAATTTCTGTCAGAAAAAAAAAAAAAATCTGACCACAAGCATCAGGACCAGAGAACTGACACGCAGTAACAATATCAAAATAAACAAGACTTTATTATGAAACCAAACATACCATGTTTAGTTTTCATAAAACCTGACTATACGATGTAACAAATCCCCATAAAAGAAAGTGAAAAAAATCATACTGCTAAGAAATCATCATACTCATTAACTACTAAAAACCACTAAGAAACCAGCAGCTTCAAAAACTCACGGTAAAGATAAAACGAACAGCACTGAACAGAACATATTTCGCCATAAGTCACAGCCTACAAGTGCTGCCCAACAGAGCAACAAAGCTGGGCTCTTTCCTTCTGACCAAGGGCAGGTATTTCTCCCATTCCCAAGTATTTTCGTTTACCTTAGACAGTGCGTAATTGATGTATTTTGTTCCACATCAACCGACAGATCCAGAAAGTCCTCGTCTTTGCTACTAACCTTGAAAAAAATAAGAAGAAATATTTCATAACTGTTTAGAACTGGCAGATTTCTTTTAATTGTTTCTGGTGCAATGTCCTCGTTGCAAATAGAGAGCTTCATGATAAAAAATAAATATACACACACAGAGGCCCTTTCTCGAAGTAAATGAAAACTGAAGAAATAATCTGATGTGTTGTCACGATCCAGAGAGGAATATTAAAAACAAACAAACAAAAAACCCCAACAAACCCAAAAATCTTTTTCGGAAAACATCTCTCCCCCTTGAGACTTCAAAACACATCTGCTTACTTCACTGGCAAAACCCAGTTTTTAACCACTCAGAGCTCTCAGAGCTGGAGAAGCTTTAACTGTGTTCCACTCTGCAGCTTCCCGCTGCATCTCAGAGTTTAGCAGTAAATACTTAGAGGAAACGCAGAAAAAGCAGATGGGTTTTCAATTAAACGGGTTAGCAGTTAGGAAAACCATCGTTCCGTTTGTGGAACAGTCCCATTTAATTTCAAAATTCTTGAGACAGAATCTTATTAATGTCATTTTTAGAGCTTCTCTTTACCACATAGCCGTAACTTTTGATTTAAAATGCCAAGAACAGCCATTTCAGTTGTGATCTTCTCTTTTTTTTCTCTCCCCATCTGGGTTTTAATTTTTTTTTAGAAGTGTTAAATCAGACATAGCACTTGACTAACTACAAATTCCTGGTCTGAAGGTGGTGTGGTTCTTCTAATTCTAGACTTCGTAGCACTTCTTTCGCTCTCAAATAGTGGCTACGGACCAGCACCAAGCAGCACAGGCCTCCAGTTCAAGAAATTCAGTTAATCCCAGAGTTAAATAAATAGCGAGCAACTCTCATGTAGAAACACAACATAAAACTATCAATCACTGACACAGGGAATAACAAGACGACAAAAAGGCAGCTTGTATCAGCCAGGTGCAGACTGCCTTGATGGAAACAGGGAGGAGAAACAGAAAAAACACTACGCTTTTTCTGAGAAACATACCTTAATGAGTATTGGTTTGAACATAGAGGTGATACAGTCATAAAATAGGCTATGCTCCATATTTTAATAGAGAGAGCGCAATTTCATCTATCCTAATAAATGAAAAAGTGTGCTTAGTATTAGGGAAAATGATCCAGAACCTGTGAAAAGTCTAAGAGGTTTGGTTTTGTTTTAAACGTACAGCCTCACAGTTAAGACATCTGGTTTCATTGGTTAGTGTTCCTTGGAAGATTTCATGGACCCACGTCAGATCAGTCTTGTCTCCTTCTTCACTCTCAATGCTGCCGTTCTGGAGTTTGCCATTCTGCTTCTCCTGCTTTTTCTCCTCTTGTAGTAAGTCAGCAATAGTGTTAAGTAGGTAGTTTAGGAATTCGTGTGCATCCTGCTGCATATAATTATCAAATAATTCTGGAAAGGAAGAGATCAAGGAGAATGAAAAAATACAGATACTTCACAGTGCCAAGTTACGACGCTTTTAGCAATCAGTGCGTGCCCTTCCCCCTTCTCTACCCTGTTATACAATTGTGGGTTACACTGTTAAGAGTCTTTGAAGAATTGAACATTGCTGTTCTCACAACAGATGTTAGGTTACCCTCACCTACTCCTCAGGTTGCAAGAAACAGCCTGCTGAAAAATAACATAAAGGAAACTTAGTTTGGGCATTTCTTGGAACTGAAGAAAAACCGTGATTGGTTTTGGGACTTCTGTTGTTGTTGGCTTTTCCTTTTTTTCTTTGGGGAGGGAGAGAAATAAAGCAATTCAGATGTATTGCCTTGAGCCATTTGTTCATTAAGTCCAGCATCGAGGGGCAAAAATCCCCTACTACACGTTTGTTATCTTTTCAAGTTCAAGCAGAGATGATAAATCAACATACTGAACTTTTCCTCACAAAGTAGCCCTGGGAAATAACCACTAGTTCTCACCATAAGGAATTTATCCTCCCGCAAATGTAAGAAAGGAGGCTACGAGTGGTTAAGTCTCCTTGGAGAGTTCAACTTTGGCCAACTCCATGAGGTCTGTTCAGCCCACGACAACCTCTAGCAACGACCCGAAGCGTGCTGACTTGCAGCAGACCTCTACGGAACACGATGCCAATGTGAAATAACTGGAGTACTGAGACTTGTGCACGCCCTCTGTGCTTGGTCTAAGCAAGTTCAGAAACAACAGATACCTCGATAACCCTCTTAACAGCACAGCACGCTTCTGATACAATCTCGGCTCCTATGCTACAGAGGTGGTGAAACTCACACCGCAAACAGGAGCTCAAAAATCTTCCAGAAATCTGTTAAAACTTGACATTTTGGACTCACTTAAAAAGGAAGTTGTGTTTACGTTTTATATGCTTAAATCTGCATAAAAATTTCATTTATTCATTTACCATTTTCTTTCCTCAATCTGGAAATAAATTTCTTGGGTGGGATGACTCCCACCTTCTTCTTTTGCGTAGCAATACTGTTGAAGAGATCAGAGAGGCATGTCAGGAGGCTTTCCTTCTTTCGAGGCTGCACTTTGTATGCCAAAACTTTTTCCCGAAATGGACGACAAAAATAAAGTGCCTGTAAGACTGAGTTGCAGTAGCAGGTATTGCCGAACTGGTTAAAACAGAACAAAAGGAAAACAAACGTTTTCATATTAGGTCTGTTAAAAAGTAACAACAGAAAGAGGTTGCTCATTAAGAATGTCACACACTGAAAATGGAAAAGCTGTGCGTCAGAGTTCATTTACTGGGGAAATACTAGGAGCCATGGTGTAAAAGACTCACCCTTGTATCATCACAGTTGCTAACGGCAAGAAAAGGAAGAGAAGACAACAGTCACAGTAATTCTGGGCACACACACACACACAAAAAAAAGGCAGGAGGCCACTGACCAAAAAACCCAACAACTGAGGGCTCATCACAAAAATCAAAATTTCTGGAGACACAGCATGAGCCTAATCCCGCTAGGGGAGATCCTGCT